TACAGTGATACATGACACATTGGGAGCATAACCATACCTGTGGTGACACCTTCGACCAATAGTCCCCCATGTTGACGCTAATGTACACCTTATGGGGCATTCCATGGCAGTCATAGATTGCTGCCCTTCCCTTATTAGAGAAAAATGACAAATGAAAAAATACACTCAAAGGAAGTGATGCTGTCTGACAGTGTCTGTACTTCCATTCAAAAAGAGATGTAGAGCTGAAGAAGGAGGCCTCTTTATCAGGCAATAAAACCCAATGAGGCAAATATTGTAGCCTTGTAAAGAGCTTCAGCCCTGGTCTCCATTAACAAACACACAAGGTCAATGATGTGGTGCAAAAATAAAGTATTTTTTAGGGATTTCATCCATACTTAGTCTTTGGCAAATATCTCATAGTCCAGGTGCTACTTTAATTTCATTAAAATGGGCTATGCATCTGCAACCAGTCTAGTTTTTGTACACTGTAAATATAGCATTCTAGCAGCTTGTTCAAAGGGGGGGGGGATCAATCTTCTGGGAGCACATGAACCTATTAAGTGTATTTTTATTTTTATGTAATATTTGTTTTACTAGGTAGGGTCAATTGAGAACCAATTTTCTTTCATAATAACAGCCTGGGGAGGGAATTACTTTGGGAGGGTTATTTAGCCAATTAACCTGGGGGATCATTAGATGGCCAGATTGAAAGAGCCTGATTGGAAGATTGCCAGGACACTAGGGAACCCTTACTCTTTGCAATAAGCATCATGCGATCCTTAATGACCACAGAGAGTCAGGACTTTGGTTTAGTGTCTCATCTGAGAGACAGAATCTCCTATAGCACATTGTGAACTATTGATTTACCTGATTTACTTTGTTTGTTTACATGATACAAAATGAATGGTCGACTGTCAATAAGTGAACTAATCTTGGGTAGATGCAGTGATAGGTTTAACATTTAATAATGTGTAAATATAGCTATACTCAAAGAGTAAATATAACCTAATGGTTGTTATAGTTATGCAGTAAATGACCATGCTTATTTTTCAAATTTCAGTGAAACTGGTGACAGCAAACAGAGTATTCTGATATCATCTTAATAGGCCGGCATATCTTTACATGAAGACACAGACATAAAAATGTATTCTTATAAAAATGTATCATGATCCACTGTCCATTTATTAACTACAGCTGTCTACTGTGGAAACAACCAATGTCAACAATCACAGAGTCGCTTTCAATCATGAATTATGTTCATGTGTATTGCGAGGACCATGGGTATACTTCTGCTTCTCTGTGTCAAAGTGAATTGAAAAGTACTGGTTTTCTTCAGCCACAAAAACTCTGAGAGGAACCTTTACAATCATCAGGTTTCTACTGCAACAAAGCAGCCTCCTGACTTGTCTTCTCTATCACCTTCCAGACACAGAGAGAAAGATTTATGTTCTTTGTCAAGACCTCTGTGTCTATTTAGGCCATTCAGGCTGACATATTACCTTTGCTAATGAGGCAGAATATGAGCAGCACAGCAAACCTAACACACAGAGACATAGCCACAAAGGTCACAGCTGGAAGACAATGGAAAATGTAAATTTCTAAATTGTCTATTCAATCACTTTAAACAGTTGTCACCATGTTTATTTTTTTCAGTTGATATTGGGATTCAACCTATTCACTAAATTCACTAAGGTCATATGATTGAGAAGAGAAGAGATGAGATGAGAAGAGATGTCCCTGGCCAGCATAGAGAGCAAGATTAAAACCATTTCCTGTTTTTTGTCCATTCAAACTGCCAATTTCCTATATTTTTAAAGCTTTAACACCACCAGCAGTAGAGTGGTGACTTTGCTTTGTGTAACACATGCTCTCTGGGAATAATGCAGCTACCTGCAAGCTAGCATTGCAGTGCTACCACATTTTTTTTTACCATGGTATCACCTCTGGAGGTGTAATTACATGAACATTAACACACCATATATCTGCAGTCTTGTCTGTGTGTGGATTTGGACACTGACCTGCTTAGTGGCACTAAAACTGATACTAATAATAGCGATGGCCAAAAAAGAAAGTGCTTTTCAGAGAGCCGGTTGTCCTCTGCACCTTATTCAATACAGCGAGCCGGATACACCCAGGCTGTAGCCAAAGATTGTTGTTTTCCCAAATGGAGATTCCGTGTTCTTAGGCAACTAACAGCCCCTCTCTTTAACCTCACAGACGCAACACTCTGTCACCTGCCCTACAAAACCGGTTGCGGTTTCCCTGTCCGTCTAGGATGAAAGGGAAGCGCGCCGCGCCTTTCGAGACGCGGTCACTCTATAATTAAGCCATGAATGTGCGCCAGTGTGACGCTGTGAGTCACCGATGGCGCGGCTCAGCGCGAGCGGAGAGCACTGTGTTCCCGTCGCTGCAGGAAGGCATAGGATGGTGTTGCTCTTACTGATGCGCGCCGAGGGATTAGAGAGAGGAGACCTCTCTCATTTTCATAGATCAGTGCCTGCATTTTGGAGCCTGGCTGAAATCAAGCTCAGAGTACTATATGTTTCTACAGACGTTAATGATGCGCACTGCCGGTTGTTCAGCTGATGTGGTTTGATGTTATGGCTTAGCGTGGCTTGGGGATCAAAAACGTTCTTTTTTTTAAAGACTGGATTTCTCTCATTTTCTCTCAGGAGTCAGAGAATAAACACTTGCTGGTGCAAGAAACATGTAGCATCTTTTCCAAATGGAAGAAAATATCAACACTAAAACTGAAAGCTATATAAAAATGCAGATATCCTGATATATGGCAGATAGGGAGTTTTAATTCAGTGTGTCACTTGCATTTGCATGTCTCCTTATGTCTATTTGCAATACACTATGTGGGTTGTTCTAAGTATGCATGAGCAGTTAGAAGTCAATAGTCATTCTTCATTATATATTCACATTTATCATAAATGTTTTTGAAGGTGTTATGATTTCAGTCATTAATTGATATATATGCAGGTGCTGCAGAGGAAGTTTTTGTGGGAATGTAATTTTTTAAAGTAATGTTTATTCATTGTCAGCAGGGCTATTTGAACTTTTTTTTCTGCCTAAATGCAAAAAAGTGGAAAATCTGTGAGCTGCGGTTTGTGAGGCATTTGTGGGGTTCTGGAGTATGTGACAGCATCCTGAATGCATCTGTTCAGAGAAGAAAAGCCTTCATATATCCCCAAAAATCACTGTGCTCCACACTCTTAAATATCTGTATGTTTTATGCAGGGTACTTTTCTAAATCATCAATTAAAACCTACCAATAACAGATCTAATTCAATTGATTTCATTTCAAACAGGTTAATTGTCATTGCAATTGTGATTGTCCATGTTAAGCTGGCTGCCATTGGGTAACTACCCCCATCTGCCTCATTGAAGGCTCATTAAACAGAGGTGTGTGGCTATAGAGAAGCAGTTTCATTTCTAGCAGTTCAGTATTGTCTGTGACTCTAGCAAGACTGGTTCCTGTATTTTGTGTTACAGTTTTAAAGATTTTTTTTTTGTACTTTTTCTCCTTCTATTCATTTTATGTGCAGTGCATTGGCCAGCACCGTTACAGTTTGCAGAGGTACTAAACCTCTGGGACTGTCTGGCTTTGCCGTATGCAGCATCAGACATCCATCCACATGCAACGCAGTGGCCAACACCCACCACGTTAAAGAGCACGGTTGTTGTAGTCATCATTCATTGAACTCTATATCAGACTTAACACACCTTTTCAATGGGTCAGCTCTGTCCCCAGGATATAGTGGTACTGCTGTAAAGCTCAAAGCAGAAACGCAACATCAAACAGCAACAGTAAGGTGTGATTTGCACACCGCATATGATTTATTAATCGATTTGGACTCTGATGCTGTGACATCAACTATCTGCTTCGCAAAATAGCCAGTATCAAAACAAAATCCTCAGGTATTTTCTCATTGATCTCTATTATTTAGCCCAAACTGGCAAGCGATTACCTTCCTAGCTACAGAAGACAAATGACAACACTACCCACGGTTTCAATAAGAATCGCGTGCATGTCGTCCTCGAACGCGCCCTAAGCCCCATCTCTCCACGGCCCACTTTGCAGCTTGACAGAGCAGCGTTTAGCGCCACTGTTTACGGCCCCGGCAGGTCGATAAAACTTCTGTCTGAAGCACCCGGATCCCGCATTTCTCGGGGAGCGGGAGCCGATACGCTGAGATGGCCGTGCGCTCCGCTGTACTCCGGGGAGCCGCGGCTCTGGGAATGGCTGCCGGGCTCGTGCAGCGAAGCGCGGCGGGGAAGCGCAGCCCGCGCCGTTCCCGCCTTTCATGTGCGAGGCGCGCCCCGAAAAGAGGGGAGAGTTCAGCGGAGCGCGCCGGGCTCCCAGCGAATTCTCCGAGATCAGACGCTCCGGAGAGAAACGGAGCCCCGGCACGACCGTAGCAGCGCCATTCTGTCAACAATATTCATGATGCACTGCAGAGGATGCAGAGAGACCTTCCTTCCACAGAAGAAAAGTCAATTTAAAATACATGTTGGTTTCCTCAAAAAATGTAACTCAAGGGGTTAAATTCGATGCAACAGCCAGATATAATTCTTAACTTTTTAAATTTATTCATTATAGGGTGCTTGCATGTACTGTTGGCAGGCTCTGTGAATTCAGAGACAGATGCACAGTATATTTCAAGAGGAAATAACCGTTTTGTTGAATGGGTGGGGCGTGGTCATGCCTTCAGCCAAATTCTGTGTTTCCATCTCTCCTACAGCCAAGAACTGCTCCTACTTCAAACACTTCACTTCAGGGGAAGAGGCCGAGCTTTTTGAAGTTAAAACCCAGAAAGGTAGGTATTCTGCTCTCTCACACTGTACCATAAGTAACTGTACATCTCACAACAATGTAACCAAAAATTACATTACTGGCATTTAGCAGATGCTCTTCTGCAGAGCAGCTTATATAGATTATAATTTTTACATGTTATCTATTTATACAGGTGGATATGTACTGAAGCAATTCTGGGTTAAGGGTACAGCAGCAGTGCCACAGCAGGGAATTGAACCAGCAACCTTTTGGTTATAAGCCATACTCCTTACCACCATACTACACTGCCACCCTCTTTCTCTTGCTCTCTCTCTTTCTAACTTTCTATACTTTACAAAGAAGTCTATGTTTTACACCTCACAGGGTCTGTTTGAAAATGGGGAGAATAGCACGGTCCATAGGCTTCATTGTGGATAACTGCAGTTACTGTCGTGTTCAAAGTGGTAGACAAAAGTGAAAACCAGCAAACACACCCACTAGATGTAGATTAGGGCTAATTAAAAATACCTGTATTTTCAGATGTTTACTGTATGACTTGTAGGTCCACTGATTGCACAGTTCTGCAGTCGGTAGAAAGAGGTTCCTGATGACACTCTAGGGCCCAGCAATTAAGCATGCATCATTAGCCTTTTAATAATTCATTTTCATTTACATTTATTCATTTAGCAGATGCTTTTATCCAAAGCAACATACAAAGTGCAAATTTCACCTTAATAATGTACTTTTGAAGCTCTTCCAGTACCATGCACACATGAAGCACTCTGGAAACATGTGTTTTGACATGTCTCAGGCCCCACCAAAGTACAGCAGGGTAATGGTGCTGTCCACATGAGAAGAGCTGTTACCCAGTCCATGAGGTGCAAACCCCTGAGACAGCCATGACCTGATTCAAGCAACACATTCTCAGTGGTTCTCTTTATTTACACAGCCACATGCTATAGGCAAGTGTGCTTTGACCACAACCATACCTTGTTTGGCTATTAGTGTTTTAGTATTTAACCACCAAAGGCTATTTGCTGTATTTATTTTTGTACTAAAAGATGATGTTCCTCAGCAGATGCTATTAGCACATCACTCAAAGTTCATCCGTATTTTTAATCAAGCCCAAACATTCTAGAAGGATACCATGCAAGGCCTTCCTCCAGCTTGCAGCTAGCATGAATGCCTGGGCAAAAAAACTCAAAAATAATTTTTAATGAAATATTTACATTTGTAGTATTTAAGTGAATTTCTTTTCCAGCTGTCTTCTGACACTTTTTCAGTGTGTAAGTTTTCTATCTAACTCTACCGTTATATGACTGAATGTAGATGAGCAAAGCTGCACTCCATTTCACTGTTCTTAAATACAAGGGAATAAAACAACTCTCTGAACTCTCCAAGGCCCAACTAACTAACCAGCTAAATGGCTTTTGCTGTTGATTCATGTTGGGCTTTTTGTAATATCAGCTAACTAACTTTCATGCTTGGTGTTATTTATTGCACTGCTTCACAATAAGAAAGCACTCAAATGCTGAAGCAACTGTCAAAGCAAGTATTCCTTTGTGGGTTACACCATGCCTTTCAAGAGGAGAGTAGCAGTGCACTTTGTGCATTCTCCTATATTCCAGCTGTCCTGAAAGAAGCTACCTAGAGTCCGGAAAGAGCCGTATGCTAATTACTGGTCCTTTTCCACCTATGCCTACCTACCATTCTGTGATTTATTATCAAGTGTGAATAAAGTATATATATAGGTATATAGGTGGATCAGATTGGTAAATATGTCTTTCATGTTTTTCACATGTGTTTGTGTTTAGTGACATTGCCCCATGCCTTGCATAACCCTGAACAGTTTAAAGAATGTTAGTACTGTACTATAAAAAGATCTGCTTGTCTTTTAATACCACTTGCTCTTTATCTGATAATCTAGTTTTGCATTTGCCAGAGATGTCATCTGAGGAAACTATTTAAAAATTGCAAACATTCATTTATAATATATATCAATGTATTAATTATTTTACTTAAACTATTTATTTACATGTTAAATATTCATTGTTTATTACTGTAACTTCATGAAATATTGATATTACCACATCCATTTAGAAATTCTACATTCACAAAGAGGAATTCAGCAGTGTGGAGTAGCAGTAAGAACAGGTCTCATAACCCAAAAATTATTGGTTCAACTCCCAAGTGGGCCATTACTGTTGTACACTTATGCAAGGTACTTAATACAGATTGCCTGAGTAAATGGCTAATGGACACCATTGAACAACTGTGACAAAAATCAGTTTGGATGACAGTGTTTGTTTAGTAAATGTAACAAGTGGTTTATATGACAAATGTCCATGTATCAGAAGTTATAGAGAGACAGATCTCTTCTGTTTCACAATCACACATTGATTGAGCGACAGTGTCTCTGTGCTTCTAACAGGAGACGGTTTAGTTATAGTTACAGCAGTTGAGTTCATCTCTCAAACTCAACATACCCAACATATTGTAGTTTATGTTTTTTTCAGCCATGTTTACCATGTAAGAGGGCGAGGCTCACAGCCAAAAAGCAGTGCTGGATCTGCAGTGCTCTATGTAAGGGATCTTTAGCTATCTCTCCCCCCACCTCTCACCTGAGGGGCCCTTCTCTCTCAAAGGGTCACAAAGACCAGATTCAAAACCCGTCCTCTCCCATACCTATCTTCCCCCCCGATGCCTGTCTCCCACACACACACCCTCAGGCGCAGAGCTGATGTTTATGATATCAGATCAGATGGAAATATTCATGAATGATATCCCAATTGCCACATGTCACCCCCTCTCCTCGAACAAGCTGCTATTTCAGGAGCTAGCGTTTCGCTCCCTACTGCTGCCATCTGACAGTTTGACTTGACCGTTAAGGATAACGTTTTAAGGCCTGTACAATCCAGGACAGTGCATTTCACTATTAAGATTGTGTTTCTAGCAATGTGATGACAAGATTACTACACACACAGCTACACAAGATGCTGCATTTACTTATCAAATATCAAATATCTATCAAATAAAAAGTGGAAATACTGTATATAATTTTATATTAAAACAATAATACTAACTCATAGACAGATTCACATTTTAGTATATGCAAATTTTCAGTGTTTTTTCTGAGCAGGCAGATAAATGCTTGTTAATGTAGCACAACCTGAGATCTTGGTCTTTAGAAGAGATAGACAGGCAGGCAATGAGCACTGTCTGTGGACCTAACCTTTGAAACAATGAGACAGGCAGGCAATGGGCACCCTTTGAGAGCCTAACCTTTGGAACAGTGAGACAGGCAGGCAAGGGGCACCCTTAGGGGGGCCGAGCATAAACAGTGCTGGCTGTAAACAGCTCCAAACAGAAAATAATTTCTCAGTATTTACTGTGTGGTGCATGATGGTCACATGTTCCTGAGATATTGCAATATCACTTCTTTTACTGTATTATAGGTTATTATCAATAATGGTAATGAAACAGTAATAACTCTGTAACTGTAAATAAGACTGGGCACTATCTCACAGTGCTCACTTGTGCTCAATTTTTCATCTCCTGCCTTTTTTGGTGCTTCTCAGCTGCCATACAGTCAAAGCCTTACCTCCAGTCATCCTGGTGACCTGCTCCCACTGTCCTTGTTTCTTTTTTATGAAATAGGTCTTCAAACAGAGCCAGAGTTATAAAAGGATGTCATTCTCAATTATTCTACTGGCCTTTTTCTTGCACTTGTACTGAATGCATATCCTTGCTGATGTCTAAGAAATAGACATATGCTGAAATAGAAATAGCCTGTGTTGGAATCATTGCATATTTGTTATTTTCATGGATATAGCATGCACTCCAGATAAATTTGCCCTTTTTGTATTCTAAAATGGGACTTTGTCACCATATAGTATTTGTGTTGTTTTACCCAAAACTCTTTTCTCAGTTCTTAATGTTCTTTTGGCAGTTATTTCAATGTTTGTATTATCAAAAATAATCAACCAATAGGGGACACTTTGTGCACTCAGCAGGTCTGCACCAGACTCTGTAGGTGCAGACCTATCAATCAGAGGTTGTGAATTCCTGCAGTAATTAAGGGCCCCATGCCATGGGATCCTTAATTAAACACCACCACAGCAGTTCAAGCTAAATCCTAAATCTGGCTCCTTCCCCCCTCAGCACCAAACACTCTCACATTAATCAAACCCATCAAACCTATTCACGGGTACACAGGAAGTACTCTGATACCCAGATGCATGCAAAATGTCCATGGTTGTTGTGCAGTGCTTTGGGATCAATTGAAAGTTGCCTCCAAAACAGCTTGGAGATATTTGCAGTGGAGGTCAGCCTGACTCACCTGTGCGCCTCACACTTCCAGAGTACAACATCTCGGCGGCGGCAATCGCCATCTTCAGCCTGGCCTTCATGATCCTGGGCACACTGTGCCTCCTGGGCTCCTTCGGGAAGGGCAGGGACTACCTGCTCAGGCCGGCCGGCATGTTCTTTGCCTTTGCAGGTAAGGTGTGCGGCAGGTGAGGGTATATACATTAAATTACATTATCGGCATTTAGCAGATGCCCCTATCCAGTACAACTTACATAGTTTACATTTTTTTTACATGTTATCCATTCATACAGCTGGATATTTACTGAGGCAATTCTGGGTTAAGTACCTTGCCCCAGGGTACAACAGCAGTGCCCCAGTGGTTAATTGAACTGTCAACCTTTCAGTTATGAGCCCTGTGCCTTACCAATATGCTACACTGCCAATTTACCTTTAAACTATCGTCCACAGGGCCTCTAATGTAAACACGCCCTCAGATGGTTCATCTGCAAAAGGTTAGACTTTAGATTAAGACTGGGAGGCTGGCAGAGATGGGGAGACACAAGCTTGATCTTAGATTAGTTTTAGAGCCAATCATTTGAGGCAGCTAAAGTGCCCAGCTCAGATGGTTCGACCGTGACCGTTTTTTCATGCGACCGCTCCCTTTGCCGTTCCTCCCCCCGCCCAGGCCTCTGCATCATCATCTCGGTGGAGGTGATGCGCCAGTCCGTCAAGAGGATGATCGACAGCGACGAGACCATCTGGATAGAGTACTACTACTCGTGGTCCTTCGCCTGCGCCTGCGCGGCCTTCGTCCTCCTCTTCCTCAGCGGCATCGCCCTCCTCATCATCTCCATGCCTCACATGCCGAGGAACCCCTGGGAGACCTGCATGGATGCCGAGCCGGAGCCCATCGAGTAAGCCGCCTGACGCTGGCAGCAGATGTGCGCCTCCCCCCTGAGCCCCTGAAAATGCAAATACCCTTTGAGTAAGCCACTCGACCAC